TTTTTGGTTATTTTTGATTAATACGCATTACTAGTCCGATAATGACGTAATGGCACTCCAAGATACTTGCAAGGCGCCTCAGTCCATGTAATGCCTTTAAAGTTAGTCGGTTTCGTTGCCGACTCGCCATGCCAAAATCTATTACACTTTAACCAGTTGATAGCAGCGCTTATAGCTACGCAGAATGATCACGCAATGCAAAGTGCTTCGCTTACACTTTTCTTATCGTTACAAAAAAAAAAAAAAAAAAAAAAAAAAAAAAAAAACGAAATATCATCAGCGTATGCTAAGATCTTAACCTCGGTGGAGTGCATACTGTTCTTATGGCAATTTTTACTGTCAAAAATTCTTCAGCAGAAAGGTTTGAAGTATAGGCCAAATAATAAGGGAGACAGAGGACAGCACTGTCGCACGTAAAGCGCGACGGGGATGCCGCCTGTTGCAGCATTAATAATTATCAAACGCGTAAAGCATACAGTATACGACATCTTTACTGCTTGTAGTATAACTTTTCCAACACCCACATGAGCTAAAATGTCAAAAAGAAAATCATGCCCTACACGATCGAATGCTTTTTCGAGATCTATTTGTATAATTACAACTTGACTTTCCTTCTCTGTGCAGAAATCTAAAACTCTACGTGCCACATGAACATTTGTCTTTATCGATCTCCCTTTAATTCCACATGTTTGGTGGTCACCTAATAATTCACGCACAGCTCCCAGCAGTCGACTCGCTATCACTTTGGCGAGAATTTTATAATCGACATTACACAATTGGTAATTGGCCGGTAACCAGATACTTGCCTAAGCTTGGCGTCATCATCAGATTTAGGTATGAGCACTGTCTAGATCTTTAAGCAAGAGACGTTCCAGCTGATACTGCTTTCTACTCGCACCTAAGCCGCGGGCATTTAGGGTAACAATGCGTACCGCGTCTCCCGGCTGGGCTTTGTTAATTGGTAGCTAATACACGCACAAAAAAAAATATATGTAACAAGGTTGTAGCCACCGTGTCAAACGGCCAAAAAAACGGGCCTAGTGTCTTGGCTCTTCTCCGGGGTCATCAGGAAGCATGCGTGGTTTTGATTGAAAGCGTCCCCTTTGTAGATCACCTCCTGCCAGCGAAGCTGGAGTTTCCGTTCTTCTTCCGCGTAATCCAACGATGGGGTCTCGCTCAGTGGTCGTTTTGCCGATTGAGACCCTGCTCCGCTCATTTCAACTGTGTTGACCTCATCCACGGGTTCTTAAACTAGCTGGGTGCTACGGAGTTGGGTTTGGTAATGTGGCGAGTCCAGCATCCGCACACGCATTGGCTTCCGCCTCGTGACGTCGCCTCCCTCTCGCCTTTGTCCTTCGCCACTCTCCTCCTTCCTAAGCGGCGCGCTTCCCTTTCCACTCTTTTGTCTACAGACGGACGCCGTCAGCTTTTCCCTGTCATATGGATACTAATACGAACGCATTAATAACGCAACAAACCTTCCTTGATGTCTGCTTTCACGAAGAGCTTTCATGGAATACACATTTAAAAACACAACCATAAAAAGCTCTTGACTGGAACTCAAGAGCATTTGTTATTCTGCCGTATGCAGATTAACAAAACTGATCCCGCTCTGGCTAAAGAAGCGCTTGTATCATTTATTGTTGTATTCCCACAACACGTGCGATATTTTAGTGAAAGGAAGTGAGGCGTATGTATCCAAACTACCATGGGAACGTACGGGACTTTCACTTCGAGCAACATTACGTCATCTATAACATGCTAAAGGCAAAATCAGATTTATGACTGGGCGGTTTCACTTGCATTCGACCAAACTTGTTTAGAGAGAGGGAAGGGAGGGAGACTTTTTCAAAAATTATGTATTAATAGTTCAGTTTCTAGCCATAAACGAAACTGTGCTTCAAAGAAATTAGAACAGTCTACAGACAGTAACCTGAGGTGTCACATGGTAGAATTCGTCAAAAACTTATTTTATTTTGTTGCAACTTTGACCGTTGTAACAAACTGTCCACTTCACTACGTCTCATTCCTTTTTTCGTTTTTTTTTTTTTTTTTCTTATTTTCACGTAGCAGACTACTGCGAACCATTTTTAGAAGAAAGCATCTTTTTTTTTTTTTCATGAATGGTTGGCGCGAATTCGAGAAACTTGCTACTCAATAAAATTTCCCCTCCTATATAGATTGTTTTAAAAATAAACAGTCAAAAACTATGAAATGAAACAACTATCAGTGCGTATATAGACACACAAGCAATCGACGACATATTCCTTGTGTTGCTGACAATTATAAAAAAAAAAAGAAATATATACATCTCGCCCCAAACTTCTCTAAAGCGTCAAATTTAAATTTTTTTTTAAATATTTGTTTTTATAAAAATATTTTTCTTTTATATTTGTATTGATAAGCGATGATTCATAAAATCACAAAATATAAATATTGGTGGAGTTTTTTATGCTGTGTTTTCGATACAATTCGTTAAATATGCTCGATCTTATAAAAACCTCGAATTTTCACATATTCAAGACCAATTTTCTCAAAAATGCCCATAAATTTTTGCAAGTTTTTTTTTATTCTTTTGCATTGATTTTATTTAAGGTTCAGAATCACTAAAAACAAATACTGGTGACCTTTTTTTTTTTTGCATTTTCGAGGCAATTGTCGCGGTTTGACTCCCAATGCTCGTATCAGGAATACTGGCTTCACCGCAACATTATTGGTGGGCTCAAAAACAGCAGATGTAATAAAAGACGCCAGCCACTTGCTGGCGTCTAGCATGAGCCTTAATTTAGAAAGTGGCTGGCGTCTACCTAGTTAAGTGAATTGGAAACTAACAGTACACAGACAGCTGGTCAAGAATTGAGTTCGCCGAAACCAGTGGCCAAGATGGTCTAGTCGGTTAAGGCGTCACCCCGGATAGTTTTTTTTGCATCGTTTTCACACAGTGTTCCCGTCGCTTTAATCACATTCTGTACTCGCTTTTGCGTTATAAGCTAGAGGCTCCATTTATTTATTTATTTTTCTGTATGCAACAGTTATTCGTTCTGCAATACGGCATCTTCTGTGTATTGCGTATCTACAATGTAAATAAATTTTATGTTGGGGGAAAGAAAAGGGGAAGGTTGCGGGTTCGATCCCCGCAACCTTCGCCGTGGCCAAGACGTATGCGTCTTGGCCACGGCGCCTGGAACGCGTCTCCGACTGGTGAGTTTCGCGTCCTCTCTCGCCCATGCATTAAAATAGGTTTCAAAACGGCTACAAATTACGGCACAGGAGCCGGCATGTTATTAAGTCGGGTGTCACGATCCTGGTGGTCAGTTGGTCGTAGAAGTTCCAGGAAAAAAGGGACGAGCGAACGCAAGTGCCGCGTTCGTCGCAACGTCCCATCTCCTGGCTGCTGTACCTTCCGTGAACTGTCAAGCTGGAAGATATTAACTCATCGGATGCAAGCGACAATAGAACAGGCATATATTCTGTATCCACCACCGTTGCTGTGCCACATCCAAGATCGCTGCAGGCAGCAGCATGGCATATAGAGAGTCATCTCAAACCAGAGAGAGCGCTTGCAATTTAGTGGCGGATTGGTCGTAAGTGCGCATGCGCTGTGCTTTCGGGTGGCGAGGAGGAAAGCGTGTGCAAAGGCGGAGACGTTTGTAGACACTCAACGTTTGCGGCACCTCCTTGCAGCTCGTATTGCAAACGCTGGCCATAAACCACGAAACTTCGATCGAGAAGTTGAAAGCTTTGTAAAACAGGCTCTCTAGCATGGCACACTTGTGGCGACATCAGGCGAAAATCGCGGGACAACGAATGAGGACACGGTAAACAAACCAATTTGACTCGTTCTTGCAGGCGCCGTAGTCTTGGTGTCGTCGCTTGCTAGCATTGCACAATTTTTAAGGCGCTGCATGACGCATTTCAATCCAAAAGTAGTTACGTTTCAGTGGCAAAAGGGCGTTCACCACTTCTGCCATTAAGGCCGCATGATCATCGCAGAGCTATACCACTCGCCCTCCTTCCTGGCTAAGCTAACCAAATGAAGTCAATCACTGATGTCTCGAGTGCATTCTGGGGCAGCATACAAGTATTTCTGAGAATGCAGGATTTTATATGTATGAGGTCACCGATGACCTTCAGAGTAGCAACGTCAGAATGACTCCTGTCGCCTTAATTTTACAAGTCGCGATTGACCGAATGCATCGGCGGTCCACATATATATATTTAGGGCATGTTGCAATTCAGCAGAAGAGGCAGCTCGGCGTTAATGAATTTACAATTTGACTGCCACGGGAGCGGCGACATAAAGCAGGACGAGGCATGGTGACGTTGCCGAGTTAGAGGTCGTGCAGTGAAAATGGCTGTACTGTGAACCAAATAAAAAGACCAAATTTTGGGCGTGTAACGGAGGCGACGACGCGAGACCGCATGTTTTGGCGTAACCGCAAGCCCCATATTTACCTTAAAGTTGTGCCAAAGTACCGGAGAGTCAGTGGACACTGCAACAAGGCGTGCTCTGACCTTTATTTGTTTTTTGTTTTTTGTTCTTTCTGGATTCTCGATACTTAACGAACAAAATTATACAATTATTTACGTCGAGAGAATCCTGTTGAACAGCGTTCTCACGCATGTACCTTGCTTCCCATAACTTGACACCGCCACGAGACGGCTCGTTTTGAACACTGCTAGGGCTATTACTGCGGCTACCAATCAAACCATTTGGTGAGACTTTGAATGCCCGGCCACCACCTGGAGAAGGCATCCCAGCCGGTCCGGTGTCTCAGGCTGTTGCAGCTTACTCAAAAATCCATCAGACACCGGACCGGCCGGCACCACGCCGCCACTCGGGAAACCGAGTGACGGGGTAAAATTTGGGGGATACTGCACATTCGATGGCACTGCGCACATCTTCTCAAATGTTTTATAAATAAAACGCTCGTGCTTCTCCTGTTTTTTTTTTTCTGTTTTCTCGTACTGAATGTGATGACGCTGCTGGTGGAGGTGCCTCAGTAGTCGCTCTCGCACGAGGGTAGGTTCACGAAAGCAAACACGTTCAGCTCGTAGAGACAAGCCACGGTCATAAAGACCAAGTACCAGGCCATTAAGATGGCTCCGTACAGCTTGTTCATCTTCCACTTGTTCACGTGGGTCAAGACCAGCAGGAACACGATAGTGGAGAGCAGACAGGCCGTCGAGTAGGCCAGGCCTGCGGGGAAGACACGACTGGAGCGTGTGTGGGACATAAAAGCAAAACTAATTCCCACCTTTGCCCTCCACGACAGCCGGGCTTCCAGGCGAGATCAGGACTGTCTTGAGGAACCAAGGCAAGCCAAGCCCTACAAGTATCTCGAATATGTTGCTTCCGAGTGCGTTGCAGACAGCCATGTCTCCAAAACCTGCGAGCGTACGTATACGACTGTGCATGGCAATTTGTCCACATCTAACACCTTTAAACCTGCTTTTCTTTCACTGGGAAGAAGGTACATTTTGTGAGTGTTACGTGTTTGTTTCTCTTCACATATATAATAAAAAAATGGCTGTGACAATTGCCTTGTAACATGTGTCAGGCGAAGTCATTAATAAACCGGACTTCAAAATAAGGGGTTATTGAGCAGTTCGCAACTGCATTTTAGATATGTGTGTGTTCTCTGAGGTTACAGACGAAAAACTTGACTTCCACCTCAAATGGAGCGCTGTTCGCACCCTCTAGGTGATTGGTGTGCCGCTAAAAAAATCCGCCTGGTCCGGGAATTGTTCCCAGGACCTCTGGAAGACCAGCGGAGCCCGCTACCAACTGAGCAAATCGGGAGTTAGCCGTCAGTAGAGCAAACGGATGTTAACAATTGCTACCAGTATTAATCGTACACACCCCAAGGATGAGTATCTGAATTTTAATGGTTAGATGTTAATGATTTAGGGGAAACCCCCAAGGTGCACAATTATGTAAGAATAACCTTTCACCTGAAGTGGAGCGCCGTTCGCACCCTCCAGGCGACTTGTTAAGTTCTTCTTCCATAATTCTTTTCCTCCTTGGGGCGTTCCCCCAAGTCATTAACATCCCTGAGGTTTAATGAAACATTAAGGGTCCACTGTATTCCTTACGTAAAGGGGTGAGTGTTGGCATGACTGAAGCGAGTGATCCGCCAATTCTCCGCACCCTGAAACCTCTGACGCGCTTGATTGATCGTTTTTTTTTTATTTTCTTTTTTTTTTTTTTTATTTACGAGGTTGTTTACTTGTTTTTGGTGGTGACACACCTACCGTATCCTTGAATATTCAACTGATGGAAGCGGCATTTGACCTTTCGTAGCATGTTTTGTAGCAGGAAAAATATCGCTTTGGAGCAGTCACTGACGCTTTTGGAGCAAATGACAACATCCGTTAGCACGTCACTAAAAAATTACAAAAGTGATTGCATCGATCGCTAAAAGATTTCATATTACATAACGTCCTGTCGTTTTCTGTTCCTTCGACTTATATGTTCATTTCTGCCCCAGTCTCAGGTTTATTCAACATGAAATTTCCTCTTTAATACTGAAGCATATTACTTATTATTTTTAGAATTAAAAATAGATAGGACTCAAAAGAAGCACATAACATAATTTTTTTTTTTAGAACCAAGGTTTAGATTAGATTATGTTCCGTTTCAAATGGGTATTAAAAATGTTTTAAAAGTAAAGCATAGCTCGACACTTTAGTTTAAATAAAACCTCCTTTTCTATGTCCCTTTTACACTGATTTATTCACCCTTTAAATATAATTCTTGTAATATGCCAGCAAAAACCATGCATATCCGCTAAAGCCCGAGTCGAGTGATTTGGTTCATGACAATCAGCAACGACAAAGATTCGGGTAATGGCTCATGTTCATTTAAGGATGAGAATAGGCGAAGTCTAACAATATCTGAAGCTCAACCCATGCTTTATGCTTTGCCAACCCCAGCGCATGACTATGATGAACACTGACAGTATATTACTGGTATCAGATCACGTGGTCGCGCTTGTTATAATTGCGAGTTAAGGAGAGTAAAACTGTTTCTTTATTTTATTTTTTATGTATATGCCATTGCGCAGAAAGGAGAACTAGTGGGCGTTTTTTAGTTATAAATGTCAGGGATGATTCCATAGCGGTACTTAGTGAAAGTACAAAAATTGTTGCACGACCCATTTTGTTGACTCAAACATAGTTTCGTTGTTGCTGAACTGTCTCAGAAAGTTGATCCCGAGAATAGAAGTATTGAAAGGATTAAATGTGATTTATCAATTCGACGTTACATAGAAATACAAGTCTGTACGGGAGAGATAACTAAAAAGAAAGATTCTAGTGGCTCTAGAAAAAAAGCCGAACGTTGGCAGCCGCTCTAAGTCTTACAGGAGTGTCGTTCTCAAGTTTTTTCCCAAGCTTCGTTTAAACATTACAGCTTTGGGCTGCAAAATAAAAGCAATGGAGCATTACTGTTAACAAGTGACACAAATATAATTGTCGAATTAACACCCCGATACGAGGAGGGAGTCTCCCTCAGGAATAAAAAGTAATCTCTGGGGAAACAACGAAATTTAAAACCAAAAGGGAGAAGGGTGGGTCGCTGTAAAAACATACTGTGTTGTAAAGGTTCCTCTGACCAGCATCTTCGGCACGGACCAAAAAGCGTGGCCTCGGAAACTACTTTGTTTGCAAAAGCACTTATGACAGAAAGCGTGTTTTCTTGGTACCAGACGCTCGCGCAGTTCCTTACGACGCTGCACCCAAGCATGAATAATTTGTTTCTCTCAAATATATGGCTTGCGCTGAGCGCGAACCTTCTGCAGTGTAAATTTTGCACCTCCTGGTTTGATTTTTTAAGCAACAAGACGCGTTGACCACCGCCATCGCATAGTTAAACAGTTTTTTTTTTTTTTTCTTGTGAAATGTGATGTTCGCAGCACTGGCAAAATCAAATGTCCAAATCGTAGAGGTGTGCAGTATATATAACGATCTCGCGATGATATACGACAGCCTAATAAAATGTTAAATCCATGACTGATAAAGCACAGCGTTGTAAAATGATGATCCAAGACAAGTGCACGTAAAACCGAATATAAAATTAGCCTCCCGAGGCAGTATTTCGCGAAGTTTCGAGCTTGTGCAAGCTGATGCCCAAATGTGATTTGTTGGGTCCTGACGTTGCCAACGTCATCTAAAAATCCAGACAATGACGGGGCCAGCGCGGTTGAGCAGCAATCTCTATACTTCGTTTTATTTTAAATGTTTGTGTGTGTGTGGGCAAAACGTTTAATGAGAAAAAAAGCAAAAAGAAGTGGTCGCACTTGCGCGTGACTTCTTTCACGGGACTTTTCCCTTAGAAATCCTCCTTTCTAAATGTTCTGACGCAGGTCGCCCGACATCGTATAATCGAGCAGGGTTCGTAAGATTCGGACTCATCTTTCAGAGTCGCCAAACGGTCTGATCCACTCCTCGTAGGAGCTAGGAATGTCTTGGCCCAGCTGGGCCCAAGCATCGCTCCCCTGTGTGGCGAGAGCCTCACATTCCCAAATCAGGTGATAAAGTTTTGGGAGGGTGCCGTCTCCTTCACATGTCGAAGAAGACGGCACATTCCCTGATTACTAACCCCCCCCCCCCCCCCCGCCCCCCCGACCATCTTTGGTCGGGGGGTTCGTAATCAGGGTTCAGCTTTCTTTTCTCGATGGCCTCAAATTTATGAGTCATCTATGGTGGTATTACGACAAATTCGTACGGGTGGCGCAACAACACCATACATGACTCAAAAATTGTATTTTGAATAAAATTGAAGCCTACGCTACGAGCCAATGAACCAATCAAACAGCATCAAAAGCACAACATCACGGCATTCGTAATATTTCTGTACGTGTTCATTCATCGGGTAAATCAAGTAAGCACGGAGAGTGCCTTGTGACTTGCGCTTTAGTTTGTGTGTTCGCGATTGTATGTGTTCGAGCCTTCGACTGTGCTATGACCTAAGATAACACAAATTACACTGTGAGTAGAGACGCTATGAAATAATATTTGTACCATAATTTCCTGCTACATGTATGAATATGAAAATCTACCAAATAATAATACTAATAGTAATATATATATATATATAGCAAAAGTGTCATCTTGCCGCAAGATGTAGCAGACTTTAATTTATGGCGATGTTTGGCGCAAATGGCGCAGCCCTTCCATCACTCAGTTATCCAGGCACCGCCATCATCCATAATAGCGACATAAAGAGCTCACCTCTGCGCACGACGAGCAGACTGGCGATTACGTCCGGCAGCGTGACTCCGATGGATAGAAACGTCAGGCCCATGACAGTGTCAGATATCCGCAGTGTGAATCCTGCAGCCGCGAAGTGCGGATGAGAAAGCGGCCCTTGAAAAATAATGCACCGCACTTGCCTATGATCGTTATGGTCCACACCAGCAGGTACGAAAGCACCGAGATGTGCAGCGTGCTCACGACGAAGGTGACCGCGAACCACTTCCGCCAGCGGTCTTGCTTACAGTCCGGCACGGTGAAGTGGAGCAGCACGGTCAGGGGAAGAAGCAGGAGCCAGAGGAGGCGGGGGAGTGCACCCTGGGGCGGCCTCAGAGAAGGTGGGGAGGATGTGGGGACGCCAGCGCGGCGCGCCACTTCTTCCAGGGCAGACGCTGAAAACAAGGGCCTAAAATCAACGGAGCGCACACGCAGATGCGTGACGCGTTGAAAGTATACGTCCCGACCTGTAACGTAACCCGTTATTTCACTGCGAAGTCACGTCTCGCTGCGGAGAGAAAATGTAGCGGTAGTTCGTTACTCCTGTGGCGGCTAACGTGCAACGAGATCTTGTTGCATGTTTTGTGAAGAGCTTGACATCACTGATTGACGTATCAAGGTGCAGTTACATTAGACAGAAGCATGAGCAGTAGAGACCTGCTGAGAACTTGTCTTGATAAAATCGTGTTTATGGCTAAACATGCAGATATTCATTCGGTATTTCCAAAGAAACAAGGCCTCCTCAAAACGTTTCTACCCCGGAGATCCACTGAACTAAATAAACGTGTTACTATCGCAGCAGAGCGCAGGGTTCCTTGGAGTATTGGTAGCAAGAAGCGTTCTAATTTACTATTTTAGAGCGCAGCTCTTAGGCGCCCGTTTCCGGCTTGAGCGGCGTCGCCGTCGCCGTCGCCGTCGCCGTCGCCGTAACCGTGAGGTCACGTAACCTCAGTGATGTCACGTGACCCCCGTGAGGTCACGTAACCCCGGTGACGTCACGTGACCCCCTTGAGTTCACGTAGCCCCCATGAAGTCACGTGCCCCCCCATTAGGTCCCGTGACCCCCGTGAGGTTACGAGGGTCGCGCGACGTCACGAAGGTCACGTGGCCTCACGGTTACGCCGATGGCGACGCCGACGCCGCTCGGAGGGAGGAGTAGCAGGCAGGATGAGGAAGTGAGGAGGAGGTGACGAGGTATACCCTCTCCTCAGTACCCTTCTCTCCTCCTGCTCAAGAGCTGCGCTCTAATTCGGCGTTACAGGGAGTTGCAAACGGCTTTCATTTTTTTAGTGTGCAATTGCTAATTGTATCAACGGAGAATCCTTCTAACGGAAGCTGGTTCACACAACTGCGGCTGCTTACGTCCGAGTGCATTACGGCCTTTCGTGATATCTTACGACGAAATAACACACTGGCTCGCTTGCGCCATCTATGAGGTGGTCCTGGAACTGCATTTCACTAGAGCGAAAGTTTGAAGGTATTTACGAGGTCAAAATGTCTATGAGAAAGGGTCGTTTATAACATTGTCAGAAGTTTTTCAAGACAATAGTGAAAGGATGATATGCGCTAAAAAAAGAAATATGCGAAAATTGCAAGTGTTCCACGTCTAGATGGCGCCAGTGTATTCTCTAGTCGTAAGCGATTACAAGAGGTCACAACCCGGTCGGTCATAAGCAGTTGCAAGTGTGTGAACGAGCTTCTAGGCTGCCCGTGTGAACGGGGTTCAAGACGTTTGTATTCATCCGTGTCGTGCGAGGTACGTCGGTAACCTGATGTCACCTGACATCAAATCGCTTGACGTCACGATTTTAGCAATGTTACTGAATTTCGTAACTTTGAATATAACGTAATGTCACGTCGCGTGACTACATCGCATGACGTCAGGTTACCTGACGTGACAGTGTCCTGTGACCCTATGCCACCTAACCTGATGTCACTTGATACCCTGACTTGACATCGTGACATTTCGCAACCACGTTGCATCACGTCAGGCCACGTGACGTGATTATGTAACGTGACGTTACCTGACGCCAGTGTTGGCTGTAACGCCTTGCTTTTGTCGGTAACGTAGTAACATACTCGTTACATATAAAAACAGCAACGTATAGCGTATTGACGTAACTTATTTTAAGTAACGGGTAACGTAATTACGTTACTCGCTACATCTTCTGCCAAATCTTAAAAAAAGAATTAAGTTTCAATTTGTTTCCTGTTTCTATCAGAATCGTTGCACCCATCCCATATACCTTCAAAATTTTTTTCAAAATTATCTTGTTGCAAAGTGCAAAATCTTTCTTTTTTTTTAATATGACGTGTATGCTTACCCATAACGTCAAAACAGTATAACATTTTAATTCATAAATGAAAGTAACGCAAAAGTAACGTGTCTTACTTTCAATCAGTAACGGTTAATCGTTCCTTTTATTTTGAGGTAACGTGGATCGGTAACGCATTCTTTTTGTTTGCAAATAGCGAGTAACGAATTTCGATACATTTTTCTGTAAGCATACAACACTGCTTAACATCATGACTCGTCACCAGCAGTAACGTCACGTGATATTTCAGAGTGAGCCAATAAGAAAACGTCATGAAAGCCCACATTTTCTCATGCATTGCAATCCTGCATTGGACGATTTGAACAATAAATCAAAATACAGCCGTCATTTTTTCTTGCAACATAGACATTTAGGCCTGGTGTGTTTCCATGTTCCTGTGCAGCCAACTCACCTTGCGCCTCCGCCAGAGTGGCCATGTCCTTAGCCTCGCTCTCCCGTCGGATCTGGTCGCTGCAAGCTGATGAACCACGTCGCAGAGAGACTTCGCGCAGAGGTACCGAGCAATCACTTACTGCTTCGAAGCGATATGAGTGAAATGCGCCGGCGGTTCGGGTCGGCAGCCAGACTCCTGCGACGCGCCGCCAACTGGTTCTGCCGAAGACCTGTAACGTCCAAGCTGTGGGCGCGCGCTGACGCATCTGCCCTTAGGCCTTGGAGCAAACCCGGGGCTAAGCTGAGCTGTCCTGGAGCCTGGCTGGCTCTCCGGCTAGGCATTAATACGAGTCCGTGGCTCGGCCGGCGACCATCCATGGGTGCCAGCTCGAGCTTGAGTGACCCGGGCGGTCCGCCTTCTTGGGCTGTGACAAGAGCTGAAACGGAAAGAGTGGCAGGAGGCAGTGCGGATGGAGTCGTCCCGGGCCCCGGCTCCAGTTGGTCCCGCAGAAATGGAAGGTGGCGCAAGAAGAACTCCTCTGCCTTGGCGTCGAAGCCCATGAACACGGCGTAAACACCGTAGGTGACCAGTAGCAAAACAGACTCAAGCCTGCGTAAGATGCCACGTCGAAGGGAGGTTAAGCAAGATAGCGAAATACCTGCGAAATCATTCTCTCCCATCATAAAACGTCACAGAACCTGACCATGGCCAAACGCGCTCACTGCACGAAAGGGCCTGATTGAATGTTTTCAGGGGTAGTGCCCTATTCACGCCGCGTTTTATGAAATGCAGTAAACGCCTGGTCAGAGTGCACAGGCATCATGTGATCAAAGAGGCGTTGAGTACCGGTACTCGAATATTTTAGGCAATGCTTAATGACAAGGTTCGCGCGTCTCCTTCCGCGCAAAACACTCGTACAAGCACTCATTTTGATATAGAGAAGGAGCCTCCAATGAGGCTCCTTCTCTAGATCCAACCAATGTCCGCGTGCCTGCAGGTGACATTGGTTCGAAAAATGACATCTGCGGGCACGCGGACAGTCTTAGCTCTCGCAAGCACAGAAATCATTCCCACGCGATGACCTTGTATATCGGTTCCTGTAAGTCCCTGTAAGGTAGTTGTAATTTTTATTGTATTTGTCGACTGTGCTTCCGTTTCATAGTTAGTACTGGCGCCAGCGCGTGGCTTCATCTATGGTTTTGCTTGCGCAAAAACGCGTGCAAATGATGTGCGAGGTCAAACCCCCTGCTTGCATCAGCCGCCTTGACAGCGTTGTACGCTCCACTCCGTCTCACAACCATCTGCAGTGCAAAGGCATGGGCACGAGCGCGTGGCGTTAGAAAGTGCCTCCTATGAACAAGTTCTCGCGCAAACAAAAGGATTCTGTTGCGCTAGGCTGACGCGCCCGTGCCTTTGTCTTCACTGCATAAATTTGTGAGATGGAGAATAACTATGAAACAAAGTATAGTGCCAGCACGGGGCCACCTCGCACTTCGCTCCTCTCGCTCGGAAAAAAAAAAAGATATATATATATTTTATTATCAGGCTTGGGCTTACTGCAAGCATTTTCAAAACTGTCAAAGATTCGGCCAGCGAGGCTACCACTTGGATGTCTGTTTCCGAGGCAATGTGCACAGAAGAAAGGTGTCACCGAAACGACGCAAGATGTGCCAATAAAACGAACGCGGGCAGCTGTCGATGAAATGAACTGAAGATGAAACGTCGCAGTGTCAACGAAACGATCTAACGAAACACCGTTCGACGAACTCATTGCCACCGGTACCGAAACTTCATGATCACGAGGGTATGACATTCAAAAATGCTTTGACAGAGCTCTGCCAAAACATGCGCTTTCAGCTTTCTACCTTCGATAATATTTCGGAGTTTCAGGAGCACACAACCAAAGCACGACGAAAGGCACCGTGCGCGGTCCGGAGGCAGAACTTCTACTGCATTTTTGATCTTGCCACCGACCAATGTGATCAAATATATCGCTCTTATTTTTTATTACGTAGAACAGTCACAATAATGTGGCACTGTGGGGTATTGAAAGCAGTATCGCCATATGAATTTATGGAGACACCGAAGTCTTGTCTATTTATATAGTGAGAAGTACCCGAGCAAATCAACTACTTTTTTTAAGGAAGTAATTAGAAAAGGTAATTTATTACATTTAGGGCTGAGTAATATGTAATTGCAGTTCATTACATTTTGCTAGTAACGTGCATAAGTCTGATTTTACCCAGGGCTCTATTTACTGCGCATATGAAGTACAAAGTCTGCTAATTACTTTATAGTTCACTTCAAGTACTGTTTGCAAAACATCTATACGCCAGCGTGTTGATTCCAAATAAACCCGCGTTCGCTCACACGAAGTGCACGCACTGCGTGCGCGCAGAAACCAGACTGGCTTGATGTGAATCATCTGCGTATCCGCCGTGTCGAGAGTAGCACCTTCGCAGCCAGAGCCGCGCGTTGGTTTATATCCGCGAACTCTGGGGAAAGTAAACGCACGGGCCTTCTTCACGAACAATCCGAACAGCATTCACTACCCTTCACTCTTAACACTCACTGGCTGATCTCTTCATCTTGGAGGGCCACCAGCAAAATCACCACGCTCGCCAAGAAGAACACGCTGTCTCGATACATGGGCCATCGGTGCAGCACAACCACCTGCGCAGTGTCACATATTCCACATTTCACGAATGTGGACTATATCACATAAAACGTCGCACTAGAAGAACACGCCCTGTCGCTCTGGTCCCCACATGTGAGGCATCTCGCCATCCACGTCAGAGACTGGCTATGCGCATCATCAGTGACCGCAATCGCCAGAGGTCTCAAGTGACACCACGAGCAGAGAGCGAGAGAGATGCGTAAGGCAGTGGTGATTCCTTCGTGGGAAGACGCCTGCATCAGTATTCTGTCAATCGCCCTGTCTCACGAGGCATGTGTGCATCCCAGCTATCATCTGTGATGCAGGAGCGATGGACTATTCGATCTTTCCTTTCAGTCCTCTTCATATATACTCTGTTTCACCTAAAGTCCAAGCGATACCAACGCAACGATGCAATAGAGCCAATCATGCTGAAGACAAAAGCGCGTGGTCACGGCATCTTTCGTGTTTTGCTGCGTGTGGTATTGTCAACTGATCCAATCAAGCGCGAAGAATACGCCACTTCACTGCGTTTTAGTCGGTCCGTTTCTGTTTGTTTTGACACGAGCTCTTGGTACCAATCGAACTTAAGATCAAACGGAGCATGCTTCTCCATTATTTACCTTCTTGCGTGGTATCACATTTATTTCTAAATTCATGATGGCCCCGTTTCTTTTTATCTCCTTTTCAACCATGCAATAGTACTTAAATTTCAAGTCTTCGCTCGCCCGTATCTTTGCCACGCCACCCAAATACACACCTTGCCGGCGAAGAGGGCGCTGACGCTGATCACTCCAGCGGCGTTGAGGACGGCCGAACCCAGGGCCGTGCTCACTCCCATCTCTCCCTACGAGACAACCGTCGGTGTGCCTGAACTCGACATTTGTCGCAGAAGATCAACATTCTCTTGTCTTTTGGGTTGACTGTATTTTGCTCTTTTTTTTTTTTTCTTTTTTATCCACCCAAACCTTATAGTGAAATTCAGATGATCGAGTGAAAGAATGGAAGTGTTGGTAGTGGTGATAAAGAAAAATCTATCAAAAGGCAAAGGGGGATGAGACCGTTTCAGTCAAGTCAGATTATGCGCCATAGGGCACTGGACGACCCTGGTTGTATTATTCTGTCTGGACAGCCAATGAGTAGCAGTATCACCGGATAAAGACGTAAATCACGAGCATAGTCACAATGAACCACGCCGTGTCGTTTATGATACCGTCGCGACGGGGCCACCGTCAGTTTGAAAAAATGCGGGTTTCTTGTGTGTATGCTTGGTGATTTGTTCTTCGGTGTTCGGCTCCCAATGTCCTCGCCTGGAGAGTGATAATAAGGGGACTCGCTACGCCCCTCCTATAGGCACTGTCAGTTTGAGAAACACAGGGCGTGCCGAGTCAATCTGATTACCGCTCCAAAGTCAATGGGACTGCAGCGTTTGCCAATCGCCGAAGAACGATTCCCAAAGCAAGAAGCGTGAGCAGAAGAGGTCCGCGTTTCTTAAGCAGTGAGTTTATAGATTATAGAAATGCGTGTATACCTCTCAAAATATCTTAGGACGGGAGAACAGACATTCACGCTGGCGCCATCAGTGAGGTGACCCTGAAACTCCATTTCACTAGAACGAAGCTTTTGCGGTATTTGCGATATCAGATGTACGTACTATATATGCGAAATTGTCGTTTATAACATCGTCAAACGTTGTTCGAAAAAAGAAGGAACAAATTATGCGCAAAAAAAAAATATTAAATATGCAGACTCTGAAAGCATTCCACGGCTATACCTGATAGGGAGCGCCAGTGTGTTCGCACACTTGCAACCGACAACGACTGACTGAGCCAGGAACGGTTTTTAAGCCTCTTGCGACGGCTTACGACGGGCTGCATCGCTCCGCAGCCGGTCGCAAGCTGTCGCAAGAGGCTTAAAAACCGCTTCTGTCTCAGTCGGTCGGAGTCAAGCGCAAGTGTGTGAACGGGCCTTAAGAAGTCACAAGTGTGTGAACGGGACTCGTCAAACACTAACTTGGAGCCGAAAGTTCGCGGAGCGCACCGATTGGACTTCGGCGGAAAAACCGCGGCGTCATCATCGAGAGATTCCAATCGGCGCGCTTTGTAAACTTCAGCCCCAACTTTGTGTTTGACGAGTCTGGAGCCCCGCAGGACCGTATATTTGTTTAGTTTTTGTCATAAAAAACAATATCTCGCCTTTTTTTTTTTTTTTTTTCACAGTGGCGCAGTCAATCGGGCAGCCCTGACCCACTTTCGGTTTCAGTATGTTTTCTCGGATTTTCACTTATATTTCACCAAACGCACGAAATAATTCTGACAATACTAAAAGCGACCATTTTTCATAGATGACGCGAAGATCTATCAGGCAAATAGTGCAAACCTGTTAGTTCGAGACCGGAAGCGTTCAAGGGCTATTTATAGACTTGTACGTAGTTCAACTTTTCTACTCAAGTTACTGTAGTTTAACTACTTTTCTGAGTAGTTGAGTAACTTTCAGTTACGTTTTGATTTCGGTAATTAGTAGTTTACTTGAATTACTTTTTCCGAGTAATTTTCACTAAAATTACAAATTAATTTCGAATTTTAGTGGTAGGTTTGCTTATAAGCAAACGTTCCTGCGTAAAAAGAGATATGTTGGAAGGTCCGCTGGATATTTGCAAAGAGGGGAAAACATGTGGCGAAGGCAACGGGGGGGGGGGGGGGGGGAGGGGATTAGTTTGAACGGTCTGAACGTCCCTACATATTTCACGAGCCTCCCACTGCAGCAACCCTGCTATGAGGCGCGAGGAGCGTACAGACACGTCGCAAATAAGGCCGAGTAGCTGCGGGATTAGCGCCGAAGACTGGCGTTTCTTTGTGTCCCGAAACTCAAGGAGGCTCGAGGCATTTGAAGAAAGGGCTTGTCCCCGCTTCTCCTCAATGTAGGAACTCTCGCCCACTACAGGAAGTGTACACACTGCGTCCTCACTCAAAAGAGGTAACAAAGTGCAGCACCCGCTATGATGCTCATCTGGTGCTCCTGTATAGTTTGTGCTGTCTTTCGAGACGTCATCTGGTCATTTCCTTGAGTGAAGTAATGGCGGCGCTAAGACCAATACAAATAAGTGCCTTATAAGCTGATTGTGTGAAATAGTTTGTCAGCGAGAATAAAACAACTACTCTGCGGCGTCTTCTATTATTTGCCGGCATTTAAAAAAAAAAAAAAAAAAAAAAACATTGATGCACCTTTGATTTTGCCATTCTTTAAAAAAAAAAAAAAAAAAAAACTGGTGCACCTCCGTTTTCCCATGGACTCGAGTAATGTATACCAGCTAAAAAAACAAAAAAAAAACGCTTTATAGGGGATGAAAGGGCATTCTGAAAGATTGTCTTAAAAAATATTTCTACTTTACTTTGAAAGTACTCTTTTTATTGCACTTTACTTCAAATAGATTGCACCCGGTGTGCTTACTACTTGAAGTACATAACCTCTCATTTACTTTGTACTTCCAAGTAGTTTTTAGACGTACCTTACGCAACACTGTAAACAAGCAAACACTGTCTTCAAAATGAAGCTCAGGCAGTGCTAAACCTCAAACGAGAATTGGTACATCCGCAGTACACCATTGACCAAAAATAAAAAAAAGAAGTACAAAGCAATTAGGCGCGCAGAAGCAGAACCAGCAATTAAAGCATTTCTGTGAAACACAAGCCGCTTTATATTCGGCTAGCAGAATTTCGCTAACGGATCAAAACCTATGTATTTTCTTATTAGTATAAAAAAAAAATATCAAAGTAGCTTCAAAAGTAAATCGCTACTCTTTCGGTAGTTAGTAATTTACTCAATTACTTTCCATTTTAGTAATTTCTACTCCACTCAAATTACTTTTGAGGATAACAGTAACTTAACTTATTTACTTTTTTTTAGTAACTTGTGCATGTCTGGTTATTTACCCACAGGAGCCACCACGTTCACACGAGAAAGAGCGAACACAATATTGTAACACGTCAATTCTGTCACTCTAAGACGTTTCTAAGTGTATATCGCAATGCACTCGGAAATACAATAATTCGTTTATTATTAATCGGTTAAATAAATGAGAAGGGCGATAGACATAATGCTCCAATGACCACACGGTCTCGCTGACCAAAGAGCTGCACACCGTTTTGCCACTGTGCCTGCATTAACTACATGCCCCTTGGGGAGCGATAACACTCGCCCTTCTAGTTCACAAAACCGATAGAAGGAAGACGAAAGGCAATGCTCCGAGCGCATCGTGGGGCACTATGCATGCCGGAGCTTCTAGAAACGTGGTCCAGAGTGGGTTAGACCTCCCCGTGCAGCGCTGAGTCAAGCCGCATGCCTTACCCGAGACACCAGAATGGCGATAATGGAAGCGGCGATCGCTGGCACCGAGCTCGCAGCAGCCATGAACGTCGCCCCCGCTACATCCGGATCGATGTGAAGAGCTGCACACGGCCCAAGAAGCCACTTGGTTAAGCACTTTGTTTTACGACAATTCACGCGAAGGCTTTTTTAGAATCTGCGCATTTTTCCTGGGGGGTCGCCTCGCCACCACTCAGGTGTGGGTGAAGGAGGAGGGACTTGTTTCCTCCCGAATCCTGCGTGAATGACACCACTCTCATTGCTATGTCGGAGCCTGAATACAGTCCTGCAAATATTTAGCTACACATACGACCGCAGCAAAAAGAAAAGGCAGACGACATAGAGTAGCCCCAGAGACCATGCAATCGTATCCAAACCAAGCTCACGTTAATGTTCGGAGACTTCAATGTCAGGCGCACGATGTGGAGACACTCCAACATGACAAGAAGACGAAGCCTGGCGAAAGCTTTTGCCAGATCCGACTTTGCACTTCCGAATCAACCAACCGTGCTGACACGAGCGGCGGCAACAGTCACAGAACACGACAACACGCCGGACCTCCCATGGGCAATGGGCATCAGTGAAAATTCAATCATCGTGGCAGCCTTTTCCAGACTGCACGGGGTAGCAAGAATACCAGAGTGACAATGACGACTAAATCGCTTCCTTTTATTGTTGTTGTTTATACCATTATTTAAGACATGACTGTACTGTTCACGTGTCGCTCTGTAGATTTCTAACTACGGCCAGCGCAACGTGCTCGATGAAGGAGCAGTGCCAGCAGTAATTACGAGATTGCCGGTGGTTCCTGTCAACGCACCAACAGCGTCACTGGCTGCGCACGCGCACGAAGACGACCTCAGAATACCGTTCCAGCGCACTCTAACCTGTGAGCTACGCGAGCCCAAATTCAACGGCAAGCTTCAGTGGGCACGGCGAAACCGCCGTGACAATAGCGAGTTTTAGTAGACCGTGTTTTCCGCTCCGCTAAGCCCCTCCGCTACGCGGAACTCTACAGCCAAGGCCATCGGCGCGCAGGCGCAGTGGCGGTTTCTTCGTAGCGGAGGGCTAGCGGAGCGGGAAACACGGTCTACTAAAACTCCCTAATGTCGACTAAAACGCGGCCTCTCCTCATAGTTCAGGTTGGTGATGGAAACCTTGTTGAAAATGTATGTTTACAAATAAAACTATTCTATTCTATTCTATTCTACTTTATTCTATTCTCGTTAGCACTCGTATGAACTTTGTATTCTACTTCTGCCGCGTCCAGGAACGGTTTTCTGAAGTGTCTGTGATTATAGAGCTGTCATTAAAGTATTATTATTAATATTATTATTATTATTATTATTTACAATTTATTTTTTATTATTTTTATTATTTAAAATTTTTTTTTTTATTAACTTTACTACCACATAATGTTGAAGAAAACCCAGTGCTAGGTACTGTTGAAATCCCAGAAAGAACTTCTCAAAACAGTAGCTAGGCAGTAAGAGGTTCTTAACACAGTGTCCAATGTCAAAAAAAAAAAAAAAAAAAAAAAAAAAAACCCTCCGCTGACGCTTTTTTTCAAAAGCTGATGGGACCAATCAGACAGCGTGAAAAGCGCACCAACATGGTGTTCGTCACGTTCCTCTACGTGTTCTATCATAGCTGAACCAGTCATAAACAAAAAAAGGCCTAGTGACTTGCACTTTTGACGCTGATTGATTGGTCCCAATACCTTGTAGCGTCAGTTGCGTCTGTACTTTAGCTGAAATGAAGTACAATACTCAAAGGAAATCTCTCTGACGTAGATGAAACACGTGGTGTGGTTCAAGCTATTCAAAACGGTGATGTGCCCCTCACAAAATATAAATAACGAAATAGCGTCACTCGTCAGTCCTTCAGCTATTCATGCGTTACTGCGATTTGTTGCCGCCCAACATATGTAACAAAATCCCGTTACCGTTACTCCTAGGGAGCCTTCATGTGCGCTTTGCTAGGGTGGTGCCACCCTTTGTAATACTACTCGCCGACAAACCAGCAGCCATTTTGGTCTCGGCGATAATCCGTGGGGCTTATAACCCTCCCGGAAACAAGCACCTTATCTCACAAGTTCGGAGCAGCGTTGTGGAACCCACGGAGGGAGGATTAGCATTTCCCCCCTCGGATGGAGGGACCGGGAGGGACCGATGGACACAAAGGACACTATCCGGCGCACGGGAAACGCACGGGGAAACAATGAGGAACAAAATGGCGGCGGGGGAAAGGGAAACAGGCAGTTGGCATCACTCTATGCGAAGCGCACATGAAGGCACCCTAGTTACTCCTATAAACTAACGAAATTTACCTTTGCATTCCTTCAGCTTAATTCGACAGCGCTAAGCCTCGATAGCAAACTTCGATAAGCACTAAACTTTTACACAGCGATCTCATAATCTTTATTACCTTTGTTATCGGATTTGTAGAATACTTTTTTTTTATCATTATGACTGGATGGACTTTTTTTTTTTTTTTTTGCGATTGATTTAGTGGTTTTTATGTTCGACCATAAAGGGCTAAGCAGTAAACCTTGTGTAAATAAAAAACTCGTTTCAACTGAGAAATTACAGCGCGGTGACACATTGTCTTCTGTTCTGAACGAACAGAAGACAATGTATCGCCGCGCTGAAGACATCTCTTGAGAGTCCATACGATATGGTATTCGAGATATGTCACAAAAAAAAAGCTAGAAAAACTTGCAAAAAATAAAATAATCAGAACCCTGTTAGGAAACAAAAAATACTTAAAATACACAAGAACTGGGTTGGATTGGTGGACAGGTGATGAGACGAAATCTAGTATAGTGGTAAGAGCAGAGGCGACATATCGTTCGACACTACAACCGTGGGGCTGGAGGTCTCGACGTTCTTGCAATAAAGACGTTTTCACTGCGATTTGGGTTGTCTTACTTTGGCTTGGTCCTTGTTGCTTTCGGCGCTTTTATACCTTTTAAAGGGACCGTGCAACAGTATTATTGGCTACGAATGTTTCTCACTTTACACAAGCTTACTGGCACTAGTGGGGGTGCAAGTATACTCGTACACAACGTCACTGACCGAGAAGCTTCTTTGTCGCCGCGTCATTTTACAAATAATAACAGAATTCTTTTGTTTGTTTGTTTTTTCTATGACGAAGTTGTGGGGATCGTATTGTTGGCGTTGTCCACAACGCAGTCCCCAGGATATCGTCATCAAGCTTTGCGATCCCTGCGGGTGACAACGTTTAAATGCGGCTCCTACAATGGACACGAGCACTGCGTAAGCATTCAATTTGGGCCCCTGGCAATCAATGCCTAGACGTGCATTCGGGTAGCCGCTCGTGCCCAATCGCTGCGATGGCGGGGATAGCCGACCTTTAACGATATGTGCAAATCAGCCCGTGCTTTGTGCTTTACCAACACACGCGCGCGGCTATAATAAACTTTAGCGGCTCCGGATCACATGGCTGCTTGTTATGGATGCAAGTTGATGCGGTGAACGGCGCTCGTATTTCTCGAATTTTTGGTTCCCAAAAGTGACATTGCAAGAAAATAAGAATAATAATAATAACGCATCTTTCATTGGTCATGAACGTCAAGGAATAATTCTAAGAGGTATTTACTTAAAGTACAAACATTTTTGTATCGCGCCTTTAAACTGTGATCCATCCAACTAACCCAATTACTCCCTTTTGCTGCACCACCACTCAGTGACACCTGTGGCGCCATCTAGGCTAGCGCCGTGGCAACAAAGTTAATCGATTTCTGGGATCACGCGCTATGTGTAGATTCTACATAATCTGAAAGTCCTTGTTCACTCACTAATTTACCCTATGGACCATTTTGGACATTGCATGATAAAAATTCAAATATAAATCATTTAAAAAAAACGCAAAACACTGAACGGCAAAATGTGATAAAGATTTTAATTGCTCCGCATCAACGTTGATATTACAAAATACAATAATAATAGCCACAATAATAGAAATGAGACGAGTTGCAGCGTGACTATGGCACGATTATAAAGATATTGGACGATGATATGCCATTTGCGAGAAAAAGAAAATCAAGAGATCTAAAAATCTGTGCTGATCCTGTGGCACACACCAATATCACACAGCAAGGCGTTCCATTCCACGGTGGCAAGGTTAAGAGGAAAGCAGTTGTACACGCCAACGGGCTGTTTCCAAACAAGCCAACGTTTGTCCACAGTGGTCATTGCGCGTCCGCAGAAACTAGATTCCTTTGAGATAATGCGTCTGCGCATGTGCCGTGCCAACAGCAGCGCCACCACAGCGACGTGATGTCGGGGCCGCGTGTTGGACTATAGGTTATTAATACGTGCGAATATCCAGTTTATTTCATTAGGGTAGTTTAAGAGCGGAAAAAGTGTGATTGACTGGTGCAACGTGTTTTTGACAGAATGGTGAAGAACTGTAAGATACGAGGGTGGGTCAAATGAAGAAAAAAAAATGCTTAGAGTGCAGGCGCGAGCTGCTATATATTGAACATGATGATAGCCCTGAGACTGAGGGAGAACAGAATTAAAACAGAAAAACGATTAAAAAAAGGACAAACAGCGTCTCAAACACAGCTACAAAATTCAGTTAATCTATAGTCCACCGTTTTTAAAGTCGTCATTGCCAGAGACGGAAGTGTACCTTCCTCTCCACAATTAAATCAAATGAAAACCTTAAAATCGCAATAACATTTCGAAATATAGCGCAATTGTCCGGCGAGCTGTCAGCTTCCTCACCAATAATTAAAAGAGCGTACGACGGGTGCCAACACATTGCAAACAACCAGCATGAAGTCGGAGCAGCAGCGTAAATATGGCCCCCTCACTTAAGTTATCTGGGTTTTTTTTTTTTTTTTTTTTTTTAGGTGGAGGAGTAACAACTATTGAAATGCATCGATGAATGATGTGACAAAAGGCTACACTTCTCTGTCACTCCAGCAACTCTCACCCTTCGATGGACTAGGGCCAGAAGGCTGGCGGGCGAAGCACTACCTCAGAAAAGCTTGCATCCGCATTGCAAAAGAGTGCGCGAGAGAAATTCCGATAGGCAGACTACGAAGAGCACT